TCCTTACAACATTACTAGTGTGAAAATATGTTTAACAGGAATGTATACATAGAGCCTATATCAGATTGCATGCCGTCTTGGGAAGGGAGTGAGAGAGGGAGGGGAGAAAAATTTAAAACTCAAAAGCTTATGGAAGTGATTGTTGATCAATCAAAATAAATTAATAAAGAAGAGGATAAATTAAACTTAATTTCAGAGTAAAGGCACTACCATTAAGGGGTACCAATAAAGGCTTCTGGCAGAAGGTGGGATTTTTGCTGAGACCTAAAAGAAGCCAGGGAAGGCAGGAGGCAGAAGTAAGGAGCAAAGATATTCCAGGCATGGAGGATATCAGTGAAAAAAAGCATAGAATTGGAAGATAGAGGGTCTTATACTAGGAACAACAGGAAGGCCTATATCATTAAATTATAGAGTATGAAGATAGGAGTAAAGAAGGATCCAGATTATGAAAGGCTTTAAAAGTCATACAAAGGATTTTCTATTAGATCCTGGAGGTAATGGTGGGGAGGTGAGAGGACTATGGGAGTTTATTGAATAGCAAAGAAAGATCACTCTTTTTTTTTTCCCAGAAAGATCACTTTGAGAGCTGCATTTACAGACTAGATAGACTGAAGTATAATCCCCTCTCCAATGCAATTTAGGTCTTCCTGACTCTAAGCCTAACACTACCACCTAGCTGCTCTTAAATTATTATTGGGTACTCACAAATACTTGCTAATTCCACAACTTTAATCTAGAAGAAAGATCTAACCTATATATTGAATACAGAGGAATTTCCCAATGTTAATGATAATTATCAGAAGCAACCTGAAGCAGAACTCTTCACTGAATCACATGATCAGAGAATTGCAGACTTAGAAGGGACCTCATTGTCTACCTAGGTCCAACCCTTACTTAAAAAAAGATCCTCAATGGTTTTTGCATGACTACACACTTATAACCTATATTGACTTGTTTGCCTTCTCAATGGGGAGGAAGGAAGAAGGGAGAGAATTTAGAACCAAAGTTTTAAACACAAATGCTAAAAATTGTTTTTACATGAAACTAGGAAAAAATAAAATACTAAATAAAAAAAATGAAAATGAATTTCTGTATGGTGTCCACTTAGTAAAAAGTATTTTAGTGGCAGTGACTGGTTCATATTTGGGCTTTCTAATATAATGCCTCGGGCATTTTTAAAAAAATTAATTAATTTATTTTTAGTTTTCAGCATTCATTTCCATAAATTTATGAGTTCTTCCCCTCCTCCCCACCTCCCTCCCCAAGATGATGTTTAGGCTTTTTTTTTTTACCAGATCTATTATTTCTTGGACTAGGGAGTTTTGGTGAAGAGCTGCCTCTACCAATGTATATTAGCAATTCCTCCACAATTTATAGTCTAGAAAGTGGCCTGAGGCATTGTAAAGCTAAGTGACTTGCCCAAAGTCACACTGACAATATGTTTCAGCTGCAGGACTTCCCTCCAAGGTGAGCTCTCTACCCACTGTACCACCATGCCATGGACATGAGAGATGTTTAACATGTATTTGTTGGGGAGGAATGGCTAATACCAAACATTCATCTAGTGACCCAAAGCATAACCTACTCTTGGGGTTTAAATGGGCAGGGAAAAAATAGACCTGCTGCCCCTAGAAACTTTTTCTCAAGCCCTACCAAGAGAAGAATTTGTCTGACTTTGAAGATTATTTTGAACAAAAGACTAGGGTGCGGTTGGCAGTAATACTTTCAGTGGCCATGAGGATAAATCAAAAGATGAAAAGAGAAGTATTAAGGCACAATTTACAAATCCAAGCTACAGATCAACTTCCATTACCCCAATCCTGGGGTTCAAAACCCTCCATACTGAGGCTTATAGCCAGCAGAACAAGTAAAAGATCCAAGATATCCCTGAAGTCTGCTCAAGCCATTTGAGAATAATAAGAACTTGGCACACTCTTCACTGAGGAGATGCAGTACTAACCACTAATCATGTGTAATCTCCCTCTACACTGCCTTTCTTAGTGATCTCATCAGTTCCCATGGATTCAATTATCCCTATACAGATGCCTCCCAGATCTATATTCTCATACCTTCTCTCTCCCAAGATCCAATCCCACATCACTAAGTGCCTACTAGATATTTCCAAATGGGTGTTTATAGGCATGTTAAACTCAACCTGTGCAAAACAGAACTCACTATCTTTTCCCCAAAACTCTTCCTTCTTCTGACTGTTCATATTTCTGTAAAGGGCATCACCATGCTTCTAGCCACCCAGGTACCAATCTCTGGGTCATTCTCAATTATTCATCCTCTCTCTCACTACTACCACTACCACCCCTTCACAGCCAGTTTGTTGCCAAGTCAGTCAATAAATACTTATTAAGGAGTTATTATGTGTTAGACACTGTGCTAAGTGCTGGGGATAGAAAGAAAGGCAAAAGATAGTGCCTACTCTCAAGAAGTTCACAGTCTAATGGGGAAGATAACATGCAAACAACTATGTAGAAACAAGCTATATACTAGATAAATTGGAAACACTCAACAGTGGGAAGTCACTAAAATTAATGGGGATCAAGAAAGGCTTCCTTAGAAGGTGGCATTTTAGCTGGGACTTGAAGCAAGCCAGGGAAGCCAGGAGTCAGAGATAAAGAGGGAGAGCATTCCAGGAATGGGAGGTAGTGAAAATGGCCAGGGTTGGCAGATGTCTTGCTCAGGAAACAGAAAGGGAGGCCAGTGTCACTGGATTACAGAATACGTGAGGAAGTGTGAGAAGACTGGAAAGGCTGAGGGCAGGGGGCAGATTGGGGGGAGGAGCAAGTTATAAAGAGCCTTGACTACCATACAGAAAATTTTTATTTGATCCTAGAGGTGATAGAAACCACTAGATTGGGTGGTTGGAAGGGGGCCTGGTCAGATCTTCACTTTAAGATGATCACTTTGACAGCTCAGTGGAGAATGGACTGGAGTAGAGAGTCTTGTGGTAGGGAAACCAATCAACAGGCAACTGCAGAAGTCCAGGCATGAGGTATTGGTGTCAGGGTTGTGTTGATGTCAGAGGAAAGAAAGAGGCCTATGTGAGACATTATGCAATGGTAAAATCAACAGGCCTTGACCAGAAATTGGATATGGAGTGAGAGAGAATGACGAGTCAAAGATGCCACCTAGGTTGTGAGCCTGGGACACTGGGAGGACAGTGGCTGCCTTAACAGTAATAGAAAAGTCAGGAGGAGAGGAGAGTTTGGGAAGGGGGGAAACAATAATAATAGCCAACATTTTATAGCACTTACTATGTCCCAGGAGCTGTACGAAGCACTTTACAATTATTATCTCATTTGATCCTCAAGACAACCCTAGGAGGTAAATGCTATTATGAACTCCATTTTACAGATTAAAAAACTGAGGGTTTAAGTGACTTGCCCAGGGTCACATGGTTAGTAAATGTCTGAAATTTGATTTGAACTCAGATCTTCCTGACTCTAGGCCCAGCACTCTATCACTGTGCTACTAGAAGGCTTCAATTATCCAGTTGAAGATGCCTAATAGGCAGTTAGAGATAGCAAGACTGAAGGTTAGCTGTTAGATCAGAGCCAGATAAATAGATTTGAGAATCATCAGCTTAGAGATGCTAATTGAATCATAGGAGTAATGAGATCACCAAGTGAAATAGTATAGTTGGAGAAGAAAAGAGGGCTGTGGACAAAGTCCTGTGAGACAGCCATGGTTAGTGGAGATGACCTGGATAAAGACGCAGCAAACAAAACTGAGGAGTATTTAGACAGGCAGTAGGAAAACCAGGGCATGGTGGTATAACAAAAACCCAGAGAAAAGAGAAGGTCAAAGTGAAGGTGATCTCAGTGTCAAAGGCTATAGACAAGTTTCCCAATCCTACTTCCACAATATTGCTTACATCTGTCTACTTCTCTCATTTATAAGGTCCCTACAGTATTCCAGGCCCTTATCATCTCTCACCTGGACCACTGCAATAGACTCCTAATTGGTCTCCCATTCTGTAATCTTTCCCTTTTCTAATGCATACCCACGCAGCTGCCACAGCGATATTCCTGCAGCATTGGTATGACCATGTTACTCTTCTGCTTCTGAAGTGCCCTTGGCTCCCTATTACTTCTAGCATCCTCTGTCTGGAATTTAAAGGCCTTTATGATCTGATACCAATCTACTTTTCTATCATACATTACTCCTATCATGACTGAAATTAAGGTAAACTGAGGTGCAAATTCCAAACATGATCAATTTATTGGTAAAGCTAGCAATTACCAATAAATTGAATGTGCTCAGAATTTTGTGCCTCAGTTTACCTTAATTTCAATTATAATACTGTCTTTCAGGCACTCTATGGTCCAGAAAAATTGGCCCATTTGTTATTCTTCACACCCAGCATTCTATCTCCAATGCTGTGCCTCTGCATAGACTCCTCTCTCCCCCATTCCTGAAATATCCTTTCTCTTTACCTTTGCCTCTAAGAATCTGTAACTTCCTTCAAAGCTCAGCTAAAGTGCCATCTTCTATAGGAGACCTTTCCTGATCCCCTCAACTGCTAGGGCATCCTCCTCATACTCACTGTTTCCCCCAGTAGAATATAAGTTTCTTGAGTGCAGAAATTATTTCATTTGTTTCTTTGGCAGCCCCAACACTTAAAAACACCTGTTGAATGTTAGATGATTGAGAGGAGGCATTGAGTAGTGGCTAGTAATCAAGTCTTAGAGTCAGACGTGTTTGAAGCCCTTCTGTTTCTGAAACATAACAGTTGTATGATCCTGGACAGGTCTCTTCACCTCTGAGTGCCTCACAAACTATAAATTGAAGGAGATTTGATGATTTGCATTGATAGAGAGAATTTCTCTCTACATCAATGAAAACACAGGTCTGGAACAACAAAAAAATCTATCACACAAAGAAATATTAGTTATTATTAGTTATTAGCATTGTATTATCAAGATATTTATTATTAATATATTGGCAAGAGAAGATTAGCTTAGGGATAGAGTATGCAGGTACAGTACCTTCTTTCTGATTTTGGTTCCCTCCCTCGAGAGTGAGAATGCCGACTGCCCCTCAAGATCCCTTGGTTTAGATGGCTATCATTCCGGTCCCCAAAACTGTCAGTGGACTGCAGTCCTGCTCTCTGATCCTGGGTTCTATGGAGGGGCACAGAGTTGCGGATGGCAGAGATGACATGGCTAGAGTATGGACTTCCTGAATCTTCACGGAGGTGTGCCCAATGGTAGGAGAGAGCCCTTTCCGAAGCTGGGAATGGAGCCCCAGGCCTAAGGTAACCTCTCATCCGGTAAGTGCTAGGAAGACAAGGTCTTGTCTGCTCCATCACACCTCCACTGCATGTCCTAGAACAAGCTGACCAAGGACCCCAAGCACCCCACACTCCTGGGATGCCCTCATTACTATCTTCCGAAGCATTAGTGGACTCTTCTATCCTCTGAGGAACCTAAAAAGAAAGATGAATAAGTTAGGATAAGTATATCTAATCATTAAAAGAGAAACCCAATGTCCTTTTGCTTTCTTAAAAGGCTTATATTTTAATTGATTTTTAAAAAAAAATTTACATTGCCAAATTTTCCCCAGTGTTCCTTCTCCTTCCCTTCCCCACCTCCCCATTTAACAAATAACATTTTAAAGAAGAGCAAAAAGAGGAAAAACATCAGCAAAACTGATCGATACATCACAAAAGTCTGAAAATATCTGCAGTATCATATTATTGACTTTTCAACTCTATGAAGGGAGAGTGAAGGTATCAAAGTTTTATTTCAAAGCCATGGGAAAGCAGAATTGCATTGTGCAGACTGGTCCATCTGTATACATTCGTGTTTGAGGTAACAATGTAAAGACTATATTTGGAATAAAAAACATTTAAATTCCAGTTATGTATCTATAGGTAAATCAATTTTTCCTCCCAACCTCAATTTCCTTTTCTGTACAAAGAGACTCTAATATTTCCACTGCCTTCCTCTTAGGATTGTTGTGGAAGAAGTACTTTGCAAACCTCAGAGTTGGGAAGACCCAAGTACCAATTCTAACTTAGACACAAGTTTCTGATGTGTGACCCTGGGCAAGCCACTTAAACTTTTGTGGTCTCAGTTTTTCATCTGTAATAATATCACTTATCTCACAAGGTTGCTGTGGAGATCAGATTTTATATGTGTGTATACATACACACACATTATATATACACACACACATATGTATATGTATGTTTATATGTATATGTATATATATGTATGTATATATGTATAACATAGTACAAACCTTAAAATGTTATATAAATGCTAGCTATCACCATTATTATTACCTAAATAAAGGTGAGGTGTTATGAATACATCTCTGAACTAGGTTCAAATAGGACCAAGGGTCAAAATTTTATTTTTCTGTTAACTACCAGAGTTTTAAAAGACTCACTTCATTAACCCACTTTTGTGAATTTACAGAGCATTATTTTACTCAGGAGTTGAAAGTTTGCTCCTAGTTACTCTTTGGTTGTCCTTGAGTTGAACTGTTTAATTGGATTTATCCTCCCAGCAAGAAGAGAGCATGGGGATTATAATCCCTATTTTGCACATCAAAATAACAATAATAATAAATAAAGCTGAGAAGGAATGACAACTCAAGATCACAAAAAAAAAATAAGGGACGGAGCCAAGCCTTGAACTGAGGTTTCTTGGAGCCCAGCCTAAGACTTTCTCTGAGAGACACTGAGTCTCCACCTAAAGCCAGATTTTAAAAGCTACCTCCTGTCAATTACATTCCATGGGTAGAATAGTGGCCAATAGGCAAGATTTGTATATCAAGTTGAGTAAATGAAGACAAAGAAAGTGACTGAGAGGCAGGATGGCTCAGAAAGCCTAGCAGCACTCTAGGCGACTTCCAGAAAGCTGGTCATGTAATTAATTGGTCACATAATCTTAGGGTTACAAGGTACCTTAGATGTCATCTAAGCCAAGCCCTACCTGGAAAAAAGAAAAAGAATCACTTTTGGAAGATAAGTGTTACTTGGTCATTGAGCCTATTTTGGAAGAGCCCCAGTAATTGGGGAACCCGTCCTTTCCACCTTAGGGATAGCTCTAATCGGTAGGGTGGCTTTCTTTACATCAAATTTCTAATTCTATTTTCTGGGGTCAAGAAGAACAAGTCCAATCTCTCTCCCTTACCCATCCTAGTCAATCATTTTAAGAACAAATGCATCAATGAATAAATAAAAAAGCATTTGTTGAGCATATATTATGCCTAAGCACTATGCTAAATACTTGGTATACAAAGCATAGATAGTCTGTGCCTTCACAGAGCTTACTTTCTAAAAGTAACATGGAATACACACGAAAAATTACTGAGATGCAGTAGTGCCATGAAAAGCCAATACTCTTTCCATAGTCTTGGAAATAAACTGCTTAAAATTTATCTACTAGTTGGAGCCTAGTTCTCTGTTAGGAGGCGTGGTGTCCCCACACCAAGAATCCCCAAAATTGATGAAACCACAGATCTTTGATGTATTTGAATACTACATGTTAGATATTGCAGATATAATGAAATAGGCCCTACTACTACTACTGGACACATTCTTTGGTTGACATACCTCATCAGTAGTAACAGTAGTAGTAGTCCTTTCTTTAGCAGTACTAGTTGTAGTAGTAGTAGCACTTGTAGTACTCATAGTAGTAGTAATAATAATAGTGGTAGTGGTGGTGGTGGTTATAGTAGCAGCATGCATTTACATAATATTTAAGATTTGCAAAATATTTTAGATACATTATTTCATTTGAGCCTCAAAATAACTATGTAATGTAAATGCTATTATTATCCTCATTTCACAGGTGATGAAACTGAGGCTGAAAAGTTAAATCATTTGCTCTGGGATCAGGGATCTACTTCAGGTCTCTCTAACTCAGAAACTAGAACTCTGTCCATTGCTTCACCTCTTGAACTAAATTTTCTCATCCTAAAGAAATATAGAAAAAATTTGCCTCATTGGTCATTTTTAAAAAAATTTAATTCTGTACTTCTTTTCCGCCTTCCTGATGTTCTCTCTTTGTATCTGTGGTTGAATTAGTTGAATGGATTAGAAAATTGTCAAGTTCATGGAAACTCCCAGTGCCTTCTCTCTGTGATTAATTGCTCTTTACACTGTATAGATCTCATGTATACATAATCATTTTTATGGTGTTGCATTAGAATGGGAGCTCCTCAAAGACAGGGACACTTTTTGCCTTTTGATGTATCTGCAGGGTTTAACACAGTGCCTGGCACATAATAAGAGCATAATGAAATGCGTTTTGGTTGATTGAATTCTTATGTGAGCTAATTAGCTTTGTAAATAACTTTGGTCTAGGAATCAGAATCTAGTATTGGCCCTACTATTTCTTAGCTGTGTGACCTTGAGTGAATCATATAACTTTTATGAATCTATGTTTCCTCATCTGTCAATGGATATAATATCTTCTCTAACTATTGAACAAAGCTGTCCTAGGGATTAGTTGAAGGAAAAAAGTATGGGAAAAGATTTTTTTTAAACTTCAAAGCACTATATCAACCTAATGTATTATTTTTTATCATTCTACAGCTATAGACTATATCCCCTCAGCCGGAACAGCCATCTTGCCAGTGTTCTCTTTAGTCACATTCAGATAAGTTAAAAGCATACGGGACAGTCAGCCTAACTCAATGCACATGCCCTCCTATTAGTAGGTGAATGGTAACATTTTTTAAGGGCAGGTGGTGCAGTGGATAGAGTGCCAGGCCTAGAATCAGGAGCACCTGAGTTCAAATCCAGCCTCAGTCACTTACTAGCTGTGTGACTGTGTTTTGCCTCAGTTTCCTCATTCATAAAATGAGCTAGAGAAGGAAATGGCAAACTACTCTAATATCTTTGCCAAGAAAACCCCAAATTGAGTCAAGTGTCAGACATGACTAATCAACTAAACAAAACCAATAGTAACATTTTTAGACATGAAGAACAACATCCTTGTTATGCTGAGACTGCTACAGAGTGAAAAGTAGAAGAAAAAGTTGAAATGAATAGCATTTCACACTCAAAAACCCCCCTTACTTCAAATGCTTTCCATGGTAATTTAACTGAAATAGGAAAAACAAAGTATATGATGTAGACTGCTTTCCAGGGCTTAGATATCCTTGCACACAGAAATATACCACCTAGAATAGTTCCACCTTGGTTTCAGTTCCATCATATTACTTCATTTATACCACCTGTCGGCAAATCTGTAGGCTAGAGAGAAGGACATGTGCTATATAGCGACAGTGGAAAGCCCATTCCACACACACCAGAATTGCCGGGCTTGTGACCACACAGGAGGTATGCAGCTTGAAGCACCACCTGACAGAAATTGGAAGCCTAGTACAGAATCAGGTGCCCCTACTGAGAGAAGGTAAGAGTGAAGCCAAACATAGATGGGGATAATGGAGCTGAACAGAATGCTGGTGCTACACCAATGGGGACCACTGGAAACAAATAAGTTGCTACTGATGGCTAGATCCGTACAGACTTACCAAAGACTAAATATCTCCAGAGTGGACAACTCCATGGCTAAGAAACCACAGGAAAGGAGGCAAGAATCAGAAGAGGCCACTGAGTAAGACTGGGGATGCACAGTAGCAGTCAATGAGGCAGAAACTTTATTAATTGGTACAATGAATTTGTTGACACTGTGAGATGAGCCTGAAGGAGAGAAATGGAGCTCAGCAGGAGGGACTATAATTATTGTTTGTCAGGAGCACAGGTAAAATACAAAAAAGGCAACATTTGTATAGTGTTTACTATAATGTAGATCCTTTTATGGTTTTTAGCACTCTAATCAGTGCTTCTTAAACTATGGGTCACAACCCCATATGGGGTTGAGAAAAATTTGGCAACAGTAAAAGGTTTCTGAATGCTCAACAACCAAAAATTAATTCAAAATCAAATATATACTAACCCCCCAAAAAAAAAACATATAATGAATCCAAAGTGTTTCTGGCAGCACTTGCCCATGTTGCATCATGCAACTTCATTGCAGCCTTGGTTCTGAACACACAGCATGCACATTTTGCACTGTGTATGCTGTCAGGCCACACAACACCGACTAACACTGCTAAAACGGGAAAAGGGGTTGTGAGTGGAAAAAGTTTAAGAAGCCTGCTAAAAATAAACCTGTTCTATGCTAAAGTCTAAAGGCACTTTGAAAGCTATGAGAAAAGTCCTTATGTGAGTGATGATAAAGGCTGAAGAAATTATTAGTAGAGAGATGTCCCCAGAATCTGTTATGTCAAAGATAAAGATCTGGCAGGTTTCTCATGTTAATCTAGGGCTTGAGGTGATAGGAACTGAAATTCAGAGCTAGAAAGAACTTTAGGCACCACTGTCTTGTCCAGCTCCCTCATTTTACAGATAAAGAAACTGAGGCACAGGATGGTTAGGTGACTTGCCTAAGATAAAACAGGTAG